GAAACTCTTCTTGGCCCGGCTCAATGCCAGGCTCAAGAAAAGGGCGCCCATGTGGCGCCCCCCTATTGGAGGGGGGGCTGACCTCCAATAGGGGGACACCACATGGGCGCTTTGTTCTTGAGCCTGGCATTGAGCCGGGCCCAATAGCACGGCTCATTAAGAAATGCTGCCCTCTCACAAGAGGGTGGGGCCCGCAATTTTAAAAATCATAGGCCCCACCCCCTTTGTGAGAGAGCCATGAAACTGAGTGTACACCTAAATTTGGTCGTTGTCAGTTGTTACAGAATATTAATTTCAGAGGAGGGCAGCTAGAGCAGTTCACTAATAGTTGTGTGCCTATTAATAAGAGACGTATATCTTGGCATTTGTGGTTCTATTTTCTTTTTTCAAGACATGTTAGATCTTGTCTATGATTGAAACGGCCAATTTCATCCAAGCAAGAATGTGTAACACAATTTTACAAAATGTAAAAAATTATGTTACACAGTTTATTTTAAATAAATGAAATAAATTACACTTGTAACTTTTAAAGTGTATATTCGATTTTTTTATCTACATATTTTGTAGAACTCATAATTTAATTTTCACTTATCATCTATACATTCTGCACGACTTAGAGCTTACGTAGATGGTCCAATGAATAAGCCACCTAACTAAACGGGTTTTTGCCATGTGAACCAACAATAAATTGATTTTTGAGTATGATGAATTCAATTTGATGCGTCGATCTCAAGATTACGTGTTCTTAGTTCAGTGGACGAAATTTATTAAAGAACCACATTCTTGAGCCACCTAACCTTGAGTATTTTGTGCACTATCATATTTATATTGTATTTGCTCTAACTTAACAATTCCGTCGGTTGAAGAACTTGAAACTCTAACTTAGGATCAACAATTTTGATCTTCTTGAATTACTTCTAATCCTTAAATCTTTCTTTAGTCTAATAAAAAATCCTCAACAAAAACCTACTCAAGAGCACTAGTAAGTTTTAGAGATTGAAAAATTGTATCGAGCCCCTGTTTGGTAGAAATTAAATAAGATTTTTAGTAAATTTTGATAAAAATTGATGAAATATGTGGTCAAAATTAATCGTTGATTTTGACTTAGATTTTAAGCATCTTTTTTTTAACGGTACCAAACAAGAGCTGAATAAACGAGTCTTTAAATTTTAAATAGATTTAGATTAGTTAGTTGGTGAGACAATAGCATACCAAAGCAATGATCAATAACTGGATTTAAGTTTTGTAACTCGTCCAAGAAGTCTTAGGTCATTTTAGCATCTAGGAACGTGAAACTTGAGTTTTAAATCAGCTCAAACCCTTCCAAGTTGTTACTCATATAAATAATCACTCCCTACATGGCGGGCAGATGTTGGGGGCCCTACCTTACGTGGCAACTTAGGTGAAGTTTAGATGACCCCATATGAACAGACCCCCTCGCAGGAGAGGTGATGATGTGCCTAATTGATGTTGTGCCTAACCAACCCTCTGATGTAATGATTGACAGGACAACTCACTGCCAATGTCGTCTCTATACACCTACACGGTCAAATCTCACTTGCACAAGCTAAGGTTTGTGGGTATGCAAGAGGTCTTAGCATTTAAAGGCCCTGATTGATTGATTGACGCATATAACAAGAAAAGCTAGCTAATCTGATGAAGCCACGTGCCCTATCATCCAACTGGTCTTATCCTTCCTACTTAAGTATAAAAACCCACACTTAGTACTATTCAAGGTTAATGAACTCTTTTTACCATGTTTTAGAAGATGACTTAACGAAATATAAATAAAGATTCATACAGTAAATGTAATGAATTTTAAAATGACGGTCAATCTAACACAATCATCTAAAACGTATTGTTATGCACACCACAAATAATAGTGCTACAAAAGAAAGTGACACTTGACCCAATGGCATATTGGTGGGGAGAACACGAAGTAAAGCCTCAAGTATATATCCACATGCCTATATATACCATCATCTGAACAATGTTATGCATTGTACTACTAATAAAAATCAAGTTGTTAAAGTTCTTTTGCATTCTCTTACAATGGAAGACACTAAAATTCTTCAATATTTTGAGGGGAAGACAATTCTCATTACTGGAGCCACAGGATTTTTAGCAAAAAGTCTCTCTCTCTCTCTCTCTCTCTCAAAAGTATACAATCACTTGTTTATAATGGATACAACAATATTCTAATACTATATTTTTTCTTTTCGAATTGCATGCAGTTTTCTTGGAGAAAATACTTAGAGTTCAACCCGAAATCAAAAAGTTGTTTCTTCTAATTAGAGCAGTGGATAAGAGATCTGCTGAACAACGCTTACGTGAAGAGGTATACAAGTGAAGTATACATGGTAAAAATTTAGGATCACAATGCTTATTAGTTGAAAATTGAACATATATTTCTTTTGCATTTTCTTTATGTTCATATATAAGTGACACTTGCAACATTACACCTTCGTCAAAAGTTTTCAGTAATTTCATTTCCAATTTTAATAGAAAAGTAGGGCTCCATGTGTAGTCTAACTACGATTTCAAGTAAACCATTTGTTTATCATGATCAAATTCATAAAATTATCCTGAAAAAATGCTATTTATCTGCTTAGTTGACTCTTATAATTGAATATGTTCCAGGTGCTCAACACTGAATTGTTTCGAGTTCTTAGAGAGAAATACGGTGCAGACTTAAGTCCTTTTCTACTATCAAAAGTTATTCTGGTTTGCGGTGATGTTTCTTATGAGAACTTAGGTATCTATGACTCAAAATTGAGAGATGAGATGTGGCAAGAAGTACATATTATTGTTAACTCAGCCGCAACTACTAAATTTGACGAAAGGTATATTAATTTGTTCTTCAGCCATTCCCATTTAATGAATACTCGTGCGTTATCTTTAATGTGCAGGCTAGCATTTATTTGAATCTTATTATTAAATAAAATCTAATCAATATATGGTTGAAAAGCATACGGATTCTGAATATTTGTGGATAAAAATAAATAATCTGTATTTCTTGGAGTTTTCATAGATATGATGTTGCAATGGGGATCAATGCTTTAGGAGCCATGCATGTCCAAAAGTTTGCCAGAAATTGTTCAAAAATAGAGATGTTTGTCCATGTATCCACAGGTAACTAGCAAAAACTCTTTATCTTCCATCTCGTGTGGAAGTTAATGATACATAAAATTCTCTCTTCTGGATGTCTTCGTTTTTTACAGCTTACGTACGAAGCTCGAGTGTGGGGCTCATACCAGAAAAGCCATTTCATATGGGCGAGACACCTGATGGAGCTAAAATCTCCTATTTAGATATCAACACAGAAAAGAAGGTGGTGGAAGAAAGACTAAGAGGGCTTGAAGCTCAAAATGCGACAGAACTAGAAATCGCATCAGCTATGAGAAATTTGGGCATTGACAGGTTAATTAAGAACACTTTCATTATATGCGTTGACCTCGGATTTTGTACTTTTAACATTAACAGATTTTGGCTCCACTCATGTTCATGTATGTTATGAATTGATTGCAAGATAATGACAATAATGAAATAAACAAAAATAAAATAAAAAAATCAAGATTTATGTGGAAACCCATGATAGGAAAAAAACATAGGAGGAGGAGAATTTCACTATAATCAATAATGAATGTGTTTATAATATCAAGATATCAATACTCTCAATTAAAATATAAGCTCTCTAACTCTCAAAATGTTATTGAATGTGTATATGGAAATACAACAATGTGAAATATTTATAGGAGCCTCTTTTTAGAGTTCTAGATGAAGAAGAAAACATAAAGTCCAAAAAAATGGGGATAAACTAAGCTAGCACCACCGCGTCGGGCCCTGCGTCTGGGACGTAATCACCAGCAGGGGCGTTAGAGTTGCGCCCACTCTTTGTTTCTTTTTATTTTACGGGCGCTGCGCTTTCGGTAATCATGTCTCCAATGTATTTTTCTTCATTGCAAAGTCATTTTCAAGCCAAACTCTCAATCATTGAAGAAATTTGATCTTTATTGTTAGGTTTTATAGTTTTTGGCAATCTTTAGACAAAAATATAGTTGTAAAAGAGTTTTAAAAGTTAAGGAGTAAATTGGTAGGTTGTATATATGGTTTGAAAGTCCTTGTGTTCGGTTGTGGAACAAGAAGAAAAAGTTACCGGATTTCTGCTAGACTGCCGCCAGTTGTTGCTCAAGCGTCCAAAATAGAAACACCTTCGCTAGCCTGTCGCTGGACTCTCGCTCGAGCGACTATGCTACCATAAAACCCTAATTTGCATTTTTCGAGAGTCCTACCTGTCCTATTACCCAAACTCTAAATACTATAAATACGCAAGCCACAGTTTGTGAAAAGACTTGGTTGAATAATTTTTATATGAGAGATTGATGTTATCACATCCTACATATTATTCAATCTTCTTTGATTCAACCAAAATCATTGAAAACATGAAATTCATTTAATCAAAACACCAAAACCCAACTTCCCCATAATCTGTCAAAGCTGTGAAGATCAAGGAAGGTAGTTCTCAGGTGATTTACAGGAAATAAACGATTCCAGAAGGTCGGGAGTCAGTGCAGGAGCGCGCAGGAAGGTCGTGGTGATTACAGTCAAGAGTTCAGAAAGTACTAAGATTTAGTCGATTTGAACACTCTGTAAGTCTTTTTCGTTTATAGTGGATACTACTGGCTTGGACTCGGAGTTTTTATCCCACGAGGGGTTTTCTCAGTCAACAATTTTGTGGTGTTGTTTATTTTCATACAATATATCAACTGTGGTAATTCAACATAGGATAGAATTGCATGTTGTAATTTGCTGTAGTTATTAATTAACAAATTTAATTAATTTCCGCATACAAACACCTTTTCACCCCCCTCTATGTGTTAGTTGGGTCAAACTCATAACTTTCATTTATTAATTAGGACTCCCAAAGCCAAAACTGCTTAGACTTATTTTATTCAACTAAATACCAAATCACATGAAATTTGGGTCACGCCACAACAAATCTTCATCTTGAACCAAAATTTCAATACAAAGAATTCAAAACATATCTCCATGTAAACACTATTTCACCTCTTCCAAACAAGCTCCAATGAGCTAAATCAATGACAAACCAAACAATGCTCAAACTTAGCAATGAGATGTGGTAAGTGATATACTATTATTAATATCCCCTACATGATTTGAATCTATATACCCAATGACTCCATTTGTATTTCTACCAAAATGCAAACAAGTATTAGAAGAGCCTCTCAAGCATCTGAATATCCATTACACTGTTTTCCAATGTTCCTTGTCAGAATTTACCATGTATCTACTAACTGCATTAATTGCATGTGCCAAATTTGATCTTGTACAAACCATAGCATACATAAGTGAACCAACTGCATTGAAATAAGGAATCCGAGACATGTAATCAATGTCTTCATCTGATTGAGGACACAAGCCAGATGATAATTTAAAGTGAGCAGTCAAGGGAGTACTAATAGCCTTAGCATTCAACATATTGAACATTTGAAACATGTTCTCAATGTATCCCTTTTGACTCAAATACAATCTACCAGCGTTCATATTCTTCAAGATTTTCATACTAAGAATCTTCTTTACTATACCCAAATATTTCACGTCTGACTGACTAACTCCTTACTAAGTTGAGATTTCACATTCCCGATCGTTGCTTCACCTTTGGCTGCTATGAGCATATCATCAATATATAATAATAAATACGTGATTGATCCACCGTTTCCATTTCCGAAACTATAATAATTCTTCTAATGAAACTATGAGTAGTCATGAATGAATCAAACTTTTTATACCACTGCCTCAGTGGGCCTTAGTTAGGTTTTTGATTGGCTGCCACATGGGCCTCTTTTGGAGCCTCGTCACGCAAGGTGTAATAATAAGTTCCAACAATTTCTGTATATGTTGATCTATGTGAAAGGGAAATTTTGAGGGACCAATTGATGAGTGACCAAGTATATGATTTTTTCAAGCGCTGAGAAATTTATTACTTTTTCTATTTTACATTTCCTAGCAAGTAACGAAAAAGTACACCAATTTATATTTACCAGAGCAAANACCAATTTATATTTACCAGAGCAAAGCTGCATGGGTGGCCAAACACGTATGTGTTTACAAAGGCTATTGGGGAAATGCTTTTGGAGAATTTGGAGGAAAATGTTAAGCTCATTATTGTTCGCCCAACAATTATAACAAGTACTTATAAAGAGCCCTTCTCTGGTTGGACCGAGAGTTTAAGGTAGAATGTTGGCAACTTCCCATCTTTATGTTTGCAAATTTAAAGCTAAATTGCATGATATTAATCATTATATAATTGCTTAAGAAAATTTATAAAATTGATTCACGAATTGGCAAAAACAGAACTCTTGACAGCATCTTCGTTGCTTATGGCAAAGGAAAACTAAAATTCTTCGTTGGTGATCCCAACTCGACACTTGACATGGTAAGCTAATAGTATATATATGCACAACCAAGCTTCCCTTTTATTTCTTTTCATAAATTATTATTGATTTTTCTTGGTGTTTCTCATTTGGATTTTGAAATTTTGCAGATACCTGGTGATATGGTGGTGAATTCTATGCTTGTAGCAATGGCTATGCATGCAAATCAACCATCTCACAGGTTAATTTATCATATTGGTTCATCTCTAAGAAATCCACTAAAATATGAAGATATGAAGTGGCTTATGGATAAATATTTAACTAAGAATCCTTTGCTTGACACGGGCGGGAAGCCTATCAAACTTGAGAAAGGCAAAGTATTGGAAACCATGGCTAGCTTTCACAGATATATTGCAATCCGTTACTTGCCATTTATACAGGTTAGTTTTATTAATCTTTTCTACTGAAATACCAATTTGATATTACTTAGCTTTTCCGTTTGAGTAGGATAATAACAAAAGCAATGATAAATTAATTATCAGAGTAATCATGTGGATAATTATTGGCAATATATATAATTCGGGATAGTTATTGAAGAACAAATTCACTCGACTAACCTAAAATAGGGCAAGTCATTCTTCCGTAGCAAAATATCTATGCATAGATCGGATGATTTATACATTGACACGCTACGACCTGTTATGGCTAGATGGTTTTGTCCTATGCACGAGCTTTTCTGAGCCATATATGCTCAGAAAACCCGGCTACTATTTTATTATTAAAAGTAAAAATTTAACTTCTCAAGAAAATATTAGACATGATGATTTTCAATTTAATTTATTAATTAACTAAAAAGAAGTTGAAAATTAATTTGAAATCTTGAACTTAGCTCATGAAGTCCGTCACTATAATTGTCACTGAGTTTTCACTGTCATAACTAAAAATTAAATGCCAGATAGTGACAGGATCTAGAAACGAATTTTTCCCATCACTAATTCCCTAATTGGATTTTATTTTTTATTTATTTTTAGATTGTGAGAGTAGAGAAGGTTTTAGTTTTATGTGCAAAATTATTTTATTGAAAGAATGTGTGGTGGAAAATTAATTTGTGGATCTTCAGCATGGGTGACGTCCCTGTAGAATCAGAAGTTTTGTTTAATTTAGAGACTTAATCTAACGTGACA